CCTTTCTCTCTCCACTCACCTCCATCTCTCCCTGATTCCTTTCTCTCTCTACCCTCGTCTCTCTTAGTCCCTCTTGCTTCTGTCTTCTCCCTCTCTCCTTCCTTTCTCTCTCTCCACTCTCCGCCTCTCCCTCTTCTCCTCTCCTTATGCTGCTCTCCTCCCTCATATCCATCATCTCCACCCTTTCCTTCTCTCCCTCTCTGATTAGCGGCTTTGGTAAACATAGGATTGTGTCAGATGCCCTCTCGTCTCCAGAGCAATCAGACGAGGGCGCTTCAGCTTCTCGAGGAGCGCTGAAACGTCACGAGGGCTCTGTTGTTTTTTCATGCATTTTATTTTATTTATATTTTGAGTGCAGTGTTTGTGTGGTCACGTGACATCACAGCCCATACAGTACACACAAGCCCCGCCCCTCGTCTGAGTCATCCACGCCTAATGTTTACAACGTCTCGAATGCAACCTGCCATTTACATTTATTTTTCCACTTGTGCCAAAATGACTATGTGAATGCTGAATCTTACGTGTATCACAGATTAAGAAAATAAAATTGCAGAACAAAGTAGCGCGTCAAGATTGCTCAAGCCTGCATGAATCACTCCAAACACCAAACTCCAAACTTTGCATGAGTAAATCGTAAGTGGAAACAATTTCAGTGGTGGAATTGCCAGTCTCTCCTGAACAAAAGGTAAAAGGAGCTTGAAAACGATTGCTTAATGACATCACAAGGTGGAAAAGAGCATTTTGAGCTTTGGAGATGTAGACAGGCTGATTCTAAAGGGTTACTCAAACATGTGTGAATGAAATTATAACCAAGTTAACCAACTGGACTTACCACTAGATGTAACAATGGGCTTACAAGGTGTTGTAACAGGCTATTGTGGAGGCCATGTGTGAATGAAACAAAACACAATTCCAGGTATGTTTTTGATGAGGTAATAACATTTTAACATGACTTAAAGTTCACAAGAGTCAATTCTGTGTGATACAGTAAGACTAAAACATTTAGAAAAAACATGCATCCTTAATATCTATGGTCATGAGCTTTGAGTAATGACCAAAAGGACAAGATCACGGATACAGGCAGTCAAAATGAGTTTCTCCACAGGGTGGCTGAGCGCTCCCTTAGAGATAGGGTGAGGAGCTCAATCACATGGGAGGAGCTCGGAGTAGAGCTCCTCCCATGTGATTGAGCTCCTCCACGTACAGAGGAGAAGCTGAGGTGGCTCGGGCATCTGTTTTGGATGCCTCCTATGCGCCTCCCCGAGGAGGTGTTCTGGACATGTCCCACTCGGAGGAGGCCCTGGGGAAGACCCAGAACACACTGGAGAGACTACGTCTCTCAGCTGGCCTGAGAACTCCTTGGGGTCCCCCCCAGAGGAACTAGAGGAAGTGTCAGTGCAGGAAGTCTGGGAGTCCCTGCTTAGACTGCTGCCCCCGCGACCCAGCCCTGGACAGGCAGAAGAAAATGGATGGATGGCATCCTTACTGTGTTACTTGCATCTCCACAACCCCAAAAAAGCCTTCCTTGTGTGTAAATTGTTGACTGCTCCATTACCTCTGCAAGACGACTGACTTCAAAATAAAGAGAGGAACTCAGACCTCACACCGTGCAGTCCTGTGGTGCCACATCACTCCGGATTCTTACTGCTGGGAGTCTATTTGTGTCGGACATTGGAGCCGACTGCAGCCTTTCCCCTTAATAAAGGAACGACAGTTCTGGCACAAACATGTGGTCTTACATGTGCAGTGGTGACACAGCAGGAGAGCACCTCTCATGTTTAGGAAATCCTCAAAGCCTTTGTTTTGTAAGGACTAAAAAAAATGAATAAATCGTGAGAATGTTAAAATATAAGTGGTTAAAGTTGAGTCAGTTAAACAGCACAGTGTAAGTGTCATGTTGTAACGACCCAAACTCTCTGTGCACTCTGTATAGAATGTACAGACCTGCAGTCCGTGTCTTAAGACGTGAGAGAGTCTGCGTTTTGTGATGGGGAAGTTTAATCAGATCCAACATGGCCGCCGCTGGGACAGAGACACATTTGTCCTCCCAGAGTGCACTGGGGCTGGGGACAGATCAGGTTCACTGTAATGAGTTTGACCCGAATGCTCCCCTCTCTCCCCCTCTGTCTACATCCCCCTCTTTCTTTACCCCCTCTCTCTACTCCTTCTCCAACTCTATCTCACTCACATCTCCTTCTCCTTCTCTTTCTCACTCCCTTGTGTCTCTCTTTTCTGACCTGTTGCTATAAATACTTTTACCTGGTGTTACCTCTACAGTGACATAAGGTAAACAAGAGAGAAACAACTGTATTTTATATTTAAGGCCAGGACTAAAACCAACACATGAACCTGAACAAATCATGGACTTAACCAGGACTAAACCAGCAAATAAACCTCACCAAATCATGACATAAACCAGAACTAAACCAGGACTAAAACAGGACTAAACCTGCAAATGAACCTAGCCAAATCATGGACTAAACCAGGACTAAAACCAGACTAAAGAAGCAAATAACCCTCACCAAATCATGACCTAAACCAGGACTAAACCAGGACTAAACCAGGACTAAAACAGACTAAACCTGCAAATGAACCTAGCCAAATCATGACCTAAACCAGGACTAAACCAGGACTAAAACCAGACTAAACCAGCAAATGAGTCTAGCCAAATCATGACCTAAACCAGGACTAAACCAGGACTAAAACCAGACTAAACCAGCAAATGAGTCTAGCCAAATCATGACCTAAACCAGGACTAAACCAGGACTAAACCAGGACTAAAACAGACTAAACCTGCAAATGAACCTAGCCAAATCATGACCTAAACCAGGACTAAACCAGGACTAAAACCAGACTAAACCAGCAAATGAGTCTAGCCAAATCATGACCTAAACCAGGACTAAACCAGGACTAAAACAGGACTAAAACAGACTAAACCTGCAAATGAACCTAGCCAAATCATGGACTAAACCAGGACTAAAACCAGACTAAAGAAGCAAATAACCCTCACCAAATCATGACCTAAACCAGGACTAAACCAGGACTAAACCAGGACTAAAACAGACTAAACCTGCAAATGAACCTAGCCAAATCATGACCTAAACCAGGACTAAACCAGGACTAAAACCAGACTAAACCAGCAAATGAGTCTAGCCAAATCATGACCTAAACCAGGACTAAACCAGGACTAAAACCAGACTAAACCAGCAAATTAATCTAGCCACATCATGACCTAAACCAGGACTAAACCAGGACTAAAACCAGACTAAACCAGCAAATTAATCTAGCCACATCATGGACTAAACCAGGACTAAACCAGCAAATAAATCTCACCAAATCATGACCTAAACCAGGACTAAACCAGGACTGAAACCAGACTAAACCAGCAAATGAATCTCACCATATCATGGACTAAACTAGGACTAAATCAGCAAATATACCAAGACAAATCTTGGACTAAACCAGGACTAAACATTAATGCCCATAACAATAACCTGAAAGGCACTGTACGCCTTAAAAATGTGAAAAACAGAACTAGAACAAGTTTGGTTTGGAGTGGTCCAAAGTTCTCCTCATTTACCTTGAGAATCCCAATTATTTACCATGTATGTGTATAAGAGCTTTCCAGGACAAAACCAGGACTAAACCAAGATAAAACCAGTACAGTGGGAGATGTATTTACCTTGAAACATGTCAACAAGGTAAATACATCTCCCAATGTACGGTCTTTAAAAAGAACCCAAGAAGTTAATGTACAAAAGAATACGAAATGAAAGTTTTTGGATTAGCAAAATAAAACCAGGATTAAACCGGGACTAAAACAGGATTCCCCTCCAGGAAACCGGGACTAAACCGGGATTAAACCAATACTAAAACGGGATTAAAGCACTGAAAATACCGAAATCATCTTGGACTAAAGCAGGATTTAAAGACATTTCAAATTGAGTTAGTGTAAATAAATCCAAACAGAAACATAATGACAGGTGTTTATTAAATGTTAGCAAAAATACAGTGTCTTTTCTATATCAAAATTCAAATAGTAAATAAATATACAGTAATTCTTTCTGCATAACTTTGTGCAATCATTGTCGTGTTTTTGTTCAGTAGCAAAGCATTTGTACAGTGTCGGACCCAAGTCAAAGTGTTTTAATATAAAACATGGTACAACAAGTGCAGGTTTTTAATATACAAAGAGCTAAAGGTGCACTATGGAACTTTTCTGGTGGAGGGTCTGACACCTGCTTGTTTCCATGGAGATGTTCCACAGTATGGCATTAAACTCAGTCTTCTCATATAAAGAAAAATAATTCCTCTGAAAAAAATGCATACTTACTGTGAGCGTGGTCAAACCAGGACTAAACCAGGACTAAACCAGGACCAAACCAGGACTAAACCAGGTCTAAACCAGGACCAAACCAGGACTAAACCAGGACCAAACCAGGACTAAACCAGGACTAAACCAGGACCAAACCAGGACTAAACCAGGACCAAACCAGGACTAAACCAGGACTAAACCAGGACCAAACCAGGACTAAACCAGGACCAAACCAGGACTAAACCAGGACCAAACCAGGACTAAACCAGGACCAAACCAGGACCAAACCAGGACCAAACCAGGTCTGAATCAGGTCTAAACCAGATTTAAACCAGGTCTAAACCAGATTTAAACCAGGTCTAAACCAGGACTGAACCAGGTCTGAACCAGGTCTAAACCAGGTCTAAACCAGATTTAAACCAGGACTAAACCAGGTCTAAACCAGGTCTAAATCAAATTTAAACCAGAACTAAACCAGGTCTAAACCAGGTCTAAATCAGATTTAAACCAGGACTAAACCAGAACTAAACCAGGACTAAACCAGGTCTAAACCAGATTTAAACCAGGACTAAACGAGGACTGAACCCGGTCTAAACCCAGACTGAACCAGGTCTAAACTAGGACTGAACCAGGTCTAAACCAGGTTTGAACCAGGTCTAAACTATTATAATTATAATATGTGGCATTTCATGAAAATTCGATTTAAGTTACAGCCTTTTGAAATGAAGATGCCAAAATCAAACGTTTTAGGCAAAAACCTCTGGTGCCTAAAGGATTAATGCAATACTACGCAACATTCCAGGCAAAGCAAAGCATCTCCATGGAAACAAGCAGGTGCCAGACGATCCCCTAGAAAAGTTACATAGTGTATCTTTAAGTGGAGAGTGCATTTTACTTTTCCTGTAGTGACTGAAATATTTGGGGCATTTTCACAACAAATAATAAAACACTAAAGGGTAAGCAAAAGGTGAAATCAAATATTTCTCTGGACTCATTTAAGTGCAGTTTTAGGCTAGTCTTTTGAGCATGACATGAAGGGCATCTGGAGTAGAACCGCACCGATACGATACTGGTATTGGATATCGGCGCGACATATACATTGATTAGTTTCAGAATGTTTGCAATTTATTTACGCAAAGTTGCTCTGTAGTTATTGGGATAAATAACAGCTACATTATCAGTTTTGTGTTATTTTATTTATGTTTAAAGGAAATAAATTCAGTTTTTAGTCTCGGTTTATATCGGGTACGTGCAGATACTTTAGAACATAATATCAGAATCAGTATCGGAGCTGAAAAAACTGGGCTGGTGTATCGACGAGGAGTAATTGGTCTGTCCAGATAACATTTGAGAAGATTATTACATTGAACTGGATTTTGGATTTTTACCATACTCATTAAAAGACCATTTTAATAACAATTCTGTTCTATAGTAAAACTGTAGATTAAACTGTGAACATTTTATATATTTAAATAAAAGGTAAACAGTTGTCTTATCTTATTTTCCAAAGTTCAAATGACACGTGGAATTTGGTTTTGTTCTAAATGTTAAATGACCAATCAGCTCCTCTGTGTCACCGGAATAAACAATCCTGATTGGATGATTGGCAAAGTAATGTATCTATAACTACCTTGACATTTTAGACCAGATGCCCTACGTGACCCAGTGCTCCCCTTTAGCCAGGCTTGGGACTGACCTCAACAACGGGACAAAATGCCTCTGAGTGAATATATGTAAAATGTTAAATCTTAGTCAAATGTGGAAATGGGGGTAAAAAAGAAATGAAACAAAATGACAGCCTTCTCTCAAAATGAAATATACATAATTGAAATACAAGTTACACAATAAACAAATATTAATTTAAATAAGAATACAAATAAAACGTTAAATTGTTATGTGAACATTTTTACAATCCAAAACTAGCCATAACATTCTGACCACTGAAGTCAATAGAAATTTAACCAGCAAATTTAATATGGCAAATTAGGAGAACCAATCCCACCCAGGTACTTTTCAACATTTGCAGATTTTCAGTTGAAATAATTCATTCTAAAACAGTGAATCATCTTTGACCCTATAGAACAGGAGTGTCCAAACTATAAGGGTGGCATATCCAAATCAGTGCTCAGTGTGTATGAGTGTGATTAAAGGTAGTCTATTACACAAAAATGACACGTGAGAGTTTTAAGCCCAGTTATAATGCTGTTACCTCATCAAAGGTGAGGTGGAGTTGTGTTTTGTTTCATTCATGTTTGACTAATCCTTTATTATGAGTCTGCTACATCTCTAAAGCTCATATTTGGCCTTTATTGAACCAGGATAGTCCCGCTGAGATTAAGAATCTCTTTTTCAGGGGATTCCTGGCCCCACAGGGGAGTCTATTGTACATCTTTTTAGTGGAAGGCGAAATTGGAGCACCCAGAGGAAACCTACACAGGCACAGGAAGAACATGCAAACTCCACACAGAAACTGCTTAGCCACCGTGTTCTAAATGCTCTGTTCCACCTTGTGAGATTATGAAGTGGTAGTTTTTAAGTCAACAATTACCTTAGTGTTTTCAGTTTGAAAGACTGTATGTTTGTGATGAGGAAACAACATGATAACATAGATCATCATATCATAACTACATGGGCCCTTTAAGCTCTCACATCCTCACTCAGGCCTGGAACCTAAAGAGTGTCACTGCAGTCTAACAGTTATTTTAGTAGTCAACTAGTCCGACACTCATTTTTCAATGAGTTGACCATAAAATAAAGAAGACTGAAGGCTCCTAAATATAGAGTATTGACATGAAGTCATTTATGTGTTTTAGAGTCTTCGCAGTGACATCACACTGGGGGTGTTCTGCCTGTATGCCCATGGCAGAGTGTTCAGCAGTTACCATGATCTGTGCATTATGTCAAGAAAAAGTACTAAATGGATTTAAACTCATTTTCAGGAGCCTGTGGTCAATATGAATGTTCACTGGCCCTGTTAATGTCCTGTTAAAGTGTTTCATTTTCAATAAAAAAGGTGAGAGAAAACTGAAAAACAGTTTTTATGGTCAGATTGTGTCAAAACAAAGCTCATATTAAAATCTAACTTGAGTAACAGAGCATCAGACAGAGCAGTGCCTCCGTTAGCATCACACTTCCTGGAAATGCTAATGATATCAGCTGCAAAGTATCAATAGTCCAGGTGATCAAAATATGATTACAATCATTTTTTATAAATGATTCCTCATGATTAGTTGATTAATTGCTGACAACAATTCCAACCATAAAGTCTGTGTCACTTCAAACATTTGTTATTGGTGTAAATAAATATCGTGGAGCTTTCCTAAACTTGTAAAAAGTACTGCTTATGGTATTTGAGTTAATTCACCTGAAAGCCTGAGGGCCAACAAAAGCTAGTGTTAGGACTGCATAGTTAGGACACCCCGGATCTAATATATTATTTATTTTCGAAATATTTCTGTTTAGTACATGGATTTGTCACTTAAAAACCTTGCAGCAACTTGCCCAAAATCACTCACTTCTTGTTTAACTTTGACAGGTTAAGCCCAAGAACCACCCACTGTAATCCATCTTTGGGACAAGCTAACTCCGCTAAGCGCGAGCATGACAAACGGGGTCAAAGATAAACCATTTTTTAAAAACAAGTTTCTGTTCTTTTTGTCTAGACATCGGTGTCCAAAGGCGGAGGGAAGTCGAAACCAGGAGAGAGGGAGTCCTGGCTGTGTGTGGAGCTTATCCCTGTATCCGAGTCAGTATCTGTTAATTCCAGGGGATGCAAGCTATCTTTGAGTTTAACCTTCTGCACGCTACAAGAAGTTACACTAGTCTGGGACATTTCCTCAGCAAAGTCCGTGATTTGTAGCGAGTTTAGCTGCGCTGCAAGCTCCCAACACTCTTCATCTTTTATAACCAGCGCTGCGTCAAAGTATTTCAGCTGTTTGTCCAAATCACTGGTTTGTTTTTGCAAAGAAACTCCTGCGAAAAGGCTGCGCTTGATTTCGGATTGGAGTCGCTCAAGTTCGGCTGCGTACAATTCCTCATTTATCCGTGAATCAGTGCCTCCTTCCTTTTCGGTTTCTTTCCGAAGTTCCTCATCAATTTCCTCGGACAGTTTAAGAATTAGTTCGTGGTGCTTTTGGACTTGTGATTCTAGCTGCACAACGCCATCGCTGGTGTACAGAAATTGATTTAGCTGCTCCTCGATGTCAAAGCTCCAACCTCCGCAAGCTTGTACGTCCAATTCTTCCCGTTGAAAACTCACTTCAATTCTTTCAATTTCTGAATCCAAATCTCTCATTCTCTGGATCTGCTCGCGAATCATGTGATCTTGGTTTAAAATTAGCTGCACCATTTTGTCCACCTCCTCTGATCCAAGCGAACTCTTATTTTCCTTGTGCAGCTTTTCCAATTTCCGAAATGCTTTTCTGACGACGCGCTTCTGCTTCTCCGACGGCAGGGATTGCGGAGAGCGATTTTGTTCGTATCTTTTGGGTCTCGCTCCTTTTGATTTTGTAGATTTCTTCGTCGGTTGCGCAACGAAATCGGAAGTTTTCACCAAGAGGAATTGCACAAAGGGTCGCTGGTCTCCCCACGCATACCACAATCGTAGAATCCTGGTCAGCGGAGGTATGGCGCGTTCAAACCCCTTCCATCTTTCGACCAGGCAGAATTCCTTGGCGTCTCCGTGGAGTTGGCGTTTGCTTTCAGGAATGCTTTTGTGGTCATCTAAAAGAGCTTGGATCATATCGAGGCAGGTGGTGTGTTTAGTGACCCCGCACACGATCTTCTCCTCTCCACAAACGTTCACCTGGATCTCCTTCCCTGGCGATGGTTCGGCATCTTTGGACCTGTGAAGGAACGAAGGAAGATGTTAATTTAAAATGGGACTAAAGAGATAAACCTTAGTCCAAAACCACATTTGGAACAGAGCTGCTAAACTGGGCAGAACCTGGAGCACTAAAGGTGAGAGTGAGCAGGGAGGTGAGGCGGGCAGAAATTGACCAGTGGAGGCCGCACACTGTTTTTGACCACAAAGCTGCAGAAGTACCTAGTTTGCACAAAAATGCCCAAAAATGACTAGGAACTAGGAGTAGATAATACTATTCAAACACCAGATACACAGTTTAGTATCAAAGAAATAGATGTAGGCTAAGTTCAGATTGCAGCCTGAAGTGACCCAAATCCAATTTTTTCGCTCCTATGCTCCTCTGATCTTTTAATGACTGACTGAACGACACAGATTTTTTCAAATGTGACCCAGACCACTTGGATATGTGCTCCTTAAACCGCTACATATCCAATCTCTTGACATGCGACTTCAGTCTGAATGGTCAGGGCACTTTCATCCCACCTACACGTCACAAATGTACACAAACATTCTTCGGAAATTCTATGAAAATTGTGTATGAACTCAGTAATGCAGTGACCACATCAGACCACATCATATACTATCAATCTATTCCTGATGGAAATCGCCGCTGTGGTGGGTGCAGTCAGTGCAACTACACGTATCGCTGCAACAGGTTTAAGCACCCTCACACTGGAAAAGAAATAATGCTCAGAGGAATTATATCCTGCAACACCAAGTCTGTGATTTATGTGATCACCTGTCTCTGTGGTAAAGCCTCTGTGGGTAAAACAAGCAGGGCTTTAAAAACACGTATTGCAGAGCATAGGAGCACAATCAGATGTAAAAACATGAACTATCCTGTGGAGGCTCATTTTGTTGATTTTAACCATCGTATCTCTTCCTTAAGATATATTGGCACTGAACATGTGGAACTGCCCCCTAGAGGTGGGAATCTAGAAATGCTCCTGTCAAAAAGAGACACTTCTGGATTCACCAGCTTAAGACTGTAGCTCCTCACGGACTGAACGTGGAGTTTGATGTAAGATGTTTTTTGTGAAAGACTTAAACTATTTCTGTATTTTATAAAATGTTTTTTATGTAAATATCTAAACTGTTGTTTCTTGTTGTAGAGAGGGCTGAACTCACTTTGGGACCTCCCATTCACTGAAGGGGTAAATGGGCACCTGGCGCTGGCAACCATTTTGTGTGCTGTGGTCCAAAGCAAGAAAAACATTTGATGAAGGCTTTTTTTTTGCAGAAATGTTATTTTGAAAATAAAAAAAAAGCTTTTGGACATCGGCCATCTGAGTATGCTATGCATTTTTTCACTCTAGTAATGCAGTGAAGCACATAGCAATCCCACCACTCTTGGCTGCGACTCCTGCACCCACACGTTCCTTTCTACGGACGTTGCTGCCACTGCCCCACAAAACGCCATGGCCCAAAACCTCGTCCTTCTCCTTTTCAATCTCCTCCTTAAAACAAATAAATTGTACATGTTCTGGCTCTGGTACAACAGCAACTTTAAAATGGCCAGGTGCTCAAAGCTGCGTCCATGTTTAGGCTACTTCCATAAACACTGAGCACACCCACTGCATCGTCATCGTTGTGTCCTCCAATGTGCATGCGGGACACTTTTGGTGCGTTCAAAGTTCACACTGGAGATCACAAACAAGTCGCATTTAATTGGAAATGTGAATGACCTCGCAAAATAATCGGATTTCACAGAAAAAATTTATCAGAATCGAGTGTTAATTCCTGCAGTCTGAAGGTAGCCTGGATGTTTAGTTACACTTTAAAGTAGAGTGATATATCACTTGGCCCTACATATCAACCCAGTAGTCATAGAAAAAAAAAGTAGTTTACTGCGAAATGCACATCTCGTCTCATATCTTATATAATGAGTATCCGTTAAAGTAATTCCTTGTAATCAAAACCCAGATAATAATCAATAGTTATCATCTGTCTAAATCAGGTCTAAACCGGGTTTAAACCAGGTCATATCCAGATCAAGTCCAAGTCAGGTCCCGGTCACGTCTAATCCAAGTCCTGGGTGTTTGACATGTTATTGTGCTTTAGTGTTAAACTCCACAGAGACAGATTCTATCAGAGTTTAGTGGGCCAAATGTAAACATGTGATTCTGATCTACGCTCTGTTTTTAGACTGAAAATATGTGGACAGGGACACAGGGCAGAGACAGAGGATTTTACACTAATCCACGAGTATTTATCGCATATTCAGAAACAATAGGACAGGCATGAATGATGGACAAGTAGAACATTCCTGGAGTAACACTGGGTATTGTTTGGAGAATGGCTGTAAACATTTCTGAAAGTGTTTTATCTAATAATATGATTTATGATTGGTAACAGCATGTTGTCTGAGAAGTTCTTATTCTATTCACTTCTGTTAATTGCAAACACATATTCTGATAGTTATATTTGCTGAAAACAACATATTAACATGTTTATACAAGTTTTACTTTTGTTTTTAGCACTCTGAGCGTCCCCTCCCTTTTCTCCCCGCACAATGTCACTCCCCCTTCAGAGCGCCATCACAACACAATCAGTCTGCATCCTGAAACGATTGAACATCACATCAGGTTTGTCAAGTTGTAGTGTATTGTTTTGTACCATGCTTTTGTATATGTTTAGAAATCGCATTGGGGCGTGCGTGTTGTAGGCTTGTTGGCTGAGTCTTGTACAGAATCGTATAACAAGGGTTTGAATAGGGGGATAGGAGAGATCACTAAATTACTCAAATATGCATGGATGACACATAATATTTTCAGGCATGTTTTTGATGAGGGAACAACATTATAAGATGGTAGAAAGCTCCAAAAAGTCCAGTTTGCAGCCCTCTTTAACATAACAGTAGTTTTAATGTTTAAATAGTTTTAACGTTAAGTAGAAACAGCAGTATTGTTTTAGCAACAGAAAAGATGCTGTCTAGAGTCAAAACTTAATCAAATGAACATTCAAACTGATTATCTTTGGAGAAGGGTTTTGTAGCCAGTGCTTCTGCTCAATTTTATTTCTCTCCAGCAACTAGGTCATAGGCTGCGTTCAGACTGCAGCCTGAAGTGACCCAAATCCGATTTTTTGGCCCCTATGTTCCTGTATCTGATCTTTTAATGACAGTCTGAACGACACAGATCCGATTTTTTCAAATGCGACCCAGGCCACTTGGATATGTGCTCCTGAAACCGAGACATATCCGATCTTTTGACATGTGACTTCAGTGTGAACGGCCAAAGCGCATTCATTCAACCTACACGTTATCAACAAGCCACAAACGTCACTATTCTGCGCTGAAGTAGGTGAAAATTGTTAATGAACTCTGTGTCACTGAAGCAAAGCACATCACCACTCACCACTCTTGGCTCCGTCTCCACATCCACATGTTCCTTTCAACGGACGTCGCTGCCGCTGCCCCACAAAACACCACGACCAAAAACCTCGTCCTTCTCCTTTTCAATCTCCTCCTTAAAACAAGTAAGTTGTTCATGTTCTGGCTCCGGTACGAGAGGAACTTTAAAATCTCCAGGTGCTCAATGCTCGCATCCATGTTTGGACAACTTCCGTAAACACAGAGCACGCTCACTGCGGTTGACGTCATCATGTCTCCAGTGTCACATGTGGGACACTTTTGGGCCATTTACTGTTCAAACTGGAGTCACATACAAGTCGCATTTAATTGGAAATGTGAACGACCTCGCAAAAACATCGGATTTCACAAAAAAATCAGAATTGAGCGTTAAGCCCTGCAGTCTGAACGTAGCCATAGACAGTTCGCAAAAAACCCTGGAAATGCGAATTTGGGCACCAGCCAATCAGCGAAGAGCCATATATTCTGTGTTGTCAATGATTTCCAAGATCGAGCATTTAAAATCGGAATAAAGAAAATGTTTGGTAAATCTCATCAAGGAGAAAGACGTTATTGTCCTTCTTCCTACGAGATTTGAGAAAAGCTTAATATACTAATTAGCCCCGTTAGTGGTGCATTACATACTTGACGACCAAATAGCAGCGATTGGTTAAATGATAAAAAGTACCCACCTACCTTTGAGCGAACAAATTCTAACACTGCGAGGTCAGACGGTTTCTACGAAGTGAAATCAGGCTAAGGGTTTTGTATCTCTTGCTTGAAGTTTTATTGTACTACTACTACTATAATTTATTTATTTTCTTTGCCCAAGTGAGTGACCCCTGAGCCTGTGCTTTGTCTGTTTGTAACCTGCTCTTTAGCCTTCATGTTAAGCTGGTCTGATGCATAGGCTCTTATTACAAATTGAATAAAAGAGAAATGTCAAATACAGAGAGATCGCATTAGCCGTCTGCTTTTAATGACTGCGCGGTGATTAGCATTAGCGACGTTAGCTCCTCAGACTCCAGACAGCAGGTTTAATGGAGGTTCAATGGTGCACGGAGCAGTAGCATGTCATCAGGAAGGCATTAGCTTAATATGAGGCATGAATCAGGCCTGTTTAATGAGACTTGAGCTTCATGACGGAGAAGTTCAGGAGAAGTCACCACGTTAGAGCACGCAAAGTTATGACATAAGATTACAAGAAGTTACACCATGTTTTGACTTTATAGAGATGTTGCTGCATAGCCTGGAATCTTCCTCAGTATGGCATTAAACGTGTCATTCAATTTGAGTTTCCATAGCTCTGGAACTTGATGTGGCAGCTGTCTCCATGGAGATAAATAAGCTTAATTCCATACATGGACTATTCCAGGTAAATGGAAAACATCTCCACGCTGGTGTACACGCCATCAGAAAAGTTACACAGAGGACTTTAGTAATTAAACAATAAATATGTAAAGTAATAATGATGACAGCTCTGTTTAAAAATGATAAACTGATGTTATAATGTTGTTACCTCATCAAAAACATACCTGGAGTTGTGTTTTGTTTCATGTTTTTGTTTGAGTAATCCTTTATTATTACTTTCCAAAGCTCAAAATGCTCTGTTCCATTTTGTGATGTCATGA